GGGGGGTACCATACTCAACATAATTTGTAACAAGTCTATATATCAAAATTGATTTGTACCGTTAATAAAAATAAAATAAAATAATAAGAATTTTACCCTTGGCAAAGGGTCCAAACATGTAACCTATTTGAGCAGATTTTGTGGGCATTGGATACAAACTCCATATGGCTTTGAAAGCAGATACTAGTTTAATATATTCGACATATAGGAATAAAAGTCTAAATGAACAATAACAGACATCCATGTAATATTAGAATTTATATATTTCAACACGCGCCTCTCACGTGAACTATATATTTTGGGTCAAGCAAGTAAAAGGTTTTTAATTTTTGAAGTACGGCAATGAAATTCGAGTGCATGACTTGTTGCTCTAATATCCTAATTAATCATCAACTATTCTAAAAACCTGTATTAAAGCAAAATGTAAGTATCTATATACATATGATGCTATCAACACAATGCTACTATGCATTTAAGTGAACCATTATGCCTAAATTTTCGCCATCTCATAACACTAAGAAAATATAACATAAATTTTGTTTCTCTTAAAACTGTCAAATTAGTTTTACAGATGAAGATCCAAACTCACATGATCTTGCAAGCTTGGCTTTGATTCGTACACATAACGGCTCTGAGAACTAGAGCTACCGATCGGCGATTGCTCTAAGTCATCTCTAATACTCAATGGTAATGGATGCAATGTACGGTCACGACTGAAAGTCGGATGATTTTGGGCAGGTGGGATTCGCCATAAGCCCAAAGGACTTCCACAAATTGGTGGTTGAGAGTACAAGCCATTCCTTCCATAGATAGTAGCGTTACTACTGTAAGTGTTACCGTTGCTACCCCATGAGGGAAGCGCCATTGTCGGTGTTAGTCCAGAAGCAAGACGATAATTCGTGAACCCGTAAACATTTGCGTCGGAGAAGCCGCCACCGTGAACCACCGTGGAGTGGAGGTGTGCCCTTTTGGCGTGCTGACGTTCCCTCTTGTGTGCGTTTTGATGACCTCCTAAGGCTTGAGAGGTAGGGAAGTTCCGGGAACAGTAATGGCACTCGAATTTTCGACTGCTCTCTCCGTTATGGTGGTCATTGTCCTTGACCTCCTCGGAAGCAGCAGTCTCGCGCTCGCCGGAATTTGACTGGTCGGCGACTATGGAGTCGCCACCGAATTCTTTGCCGAAGAGTCGAAAACCCTTTTCTTTAGGTGGTGGTGGTCGAATGAAGGGCAGCTGAGAGAAGAATTGGACGTTCATGAAGTCATGAGGCTTTCTCTCAGTCTTCTCCATGAAAGGATAGTTAATTATTGGCTTCAGTTTGTTGGTTAGAGGAACAGGCACCATGCACCTTTTACCAGAGAAGGGTGGGTCTCCATGAGAGGAGAAAGTTGTTTTTGTGGGTGCCGGGGGGGGGGGGGGGGGGGGGGGGGGG